ATAAAAATGATAAAAGCAAAATAAAAATAAAAATACAGGAGGATAAAAATGGCCACCTGAACGATAGAGCCGGTTTCAGCCCCAGGCCTGATGACACAGCCAGGTTTTTGGGAATAGCAAAAGGGATGGAGCTAATTTAATGTTGGGGGGCGAGGGGGGGGATCAGGGAATGTTCCCTAAAGCCAGCAGCACAGAAGAGAAGGCCTTGTGGAACCCACCCAATGAAGATTCTTAACCAAAGGTACCTGCAACGTGCTCTCTCTGGCAGATCTAATGGGATGGGCTGATGTAACCTGGGAAAGGTGCTCCCTCAAATGCTATAAGTGATGACGAGGTTGAGCCCAAGGGAGGGGTCAAACACATCATCAGTCCTGAGTCTTTTTGTGGCCACAAGAGATCTAAGTCCAGCCCACCTTGAGTTCCACTGACTCTTACCCATCACCAATTCACTTTGACTGTTAGTAGTTCCGATTCTTATAGAAAGCTTAAACTTGCAATAAACCTCTATATCAGTGGTTCTCAACCTTTTTAATTTAATTTAATTTAATTTAATTTAATTTAATTTAATTTTCCAACTTCTATGCCGCCCTTCTCCCCACGGGACTCAGGGCGGCTCACAGCATATTAAAAAAAACAACACAAAAAACATTTCCCCTATAAAACCAATTAAAAACCAAATATATTTATGGCTGTGTCATTATTAAAATCTTTAAAAAATTTTTCCCTATTTAAAATTCACCCTAGGTCAGTCCCGCTTGTTGAAAAAGCCATGTCTTGAGGGCGCGGCGGAAGGTTAGGAGATCCGGGATCGTCCGGATCTCGGNAGGTAAGATATGCCTACTAATCGATAGCTATTATTAGCAGTGTGAGGCAGAGAAGTCTCATTAAAGGATCTCTTGCTTCTGAGTCCAGGCAGGAATGCAGCAGAGATATCGCTGGGGTCTTTTTAGTGTAGATAATGAAGATTACAGGCAGACCTTGACTTAGAACCTTTCCTTTGGAGACCATTCAAAGTTCCAATGGCGCTGAAAAAAAGGACATATAATTGGTCCTCACACTTACCACTGTTGCAGAATCCCCATCATCGCAGGATCAGAATTTGGGACTTTGGGATGATGGTTGCAGCACCCCAGGATCATGCCATCACCATTTACAGTTGGCTTCCCAGTTAGCTTCCAACAAGCGAAGTCAACAGGGGAAGCAGGATTCGCTTAGCAACCATATGACTCAATTAACAACTGCAGTGATTCACTTGACAACCATAGCAAAAAAAAAAGTTTGTAAAATCAGGCAGGGCTCACTTGGCTTAACAATGGAAATTCTTGCCCCCATTTGTGGTCATAAATCAAGGACTGCCTGTATTCCTAGATTAGGAACATTTCAGCACCAGAGGAATGGACAGCTCTCCCTCTTCACAGGCACCTGTTCCTGAAATGGTTGAGGGCAAGGCAAGATCTCAGTTCCAGAGCTGGACAATGCAAAAATGAAGAAATCACATTTTCTCCAAAATGAACTTTCGGATTCCATTGCTTTGAAGAAAATGCAGCGGGATGGTAGAAGAGCTGGACTGTGCACAATTGTCCAGACCTAGCACGAGAAGAGGAAATTACGATTCCATGTTATCTTATTGCACAAAAATAGCACAGATTCTTGAGGAATATCTCCATATTGTGAACATACATGTGCCGAGGAAGGGAAGAAGCAAAAAAAAAAAAACCCCTGTCATATAAGAGTAGCAGAGGAGATGGCCTTCTGGTCAGCTACTAATTCAGAAGCCTGATTTTATTAATTAGCTGTCAGGGTTAACATGAGCAAGGTCAGGAGAGAAGGTCTATGAGAACAAGCCAATCAGCAGGAATAATAATGTGCACCTCTACTGAAAAATAATTGGTTCTCAGAGTGCTAGAAGGCATGGATTAAAAAAAGAGCCATGCTTCAGGATTGAACCTTGGGTTTGCTAAATATATGGCTTGAGTTTGCAGCTGTTGGTTTTCTTCATATTAACAGCTTTTCTAGTTTCTATAACAAAAACTATCTTATCAAGAGCAGCGTCCTTCAACCTCTGCCTGCGAGCCTCTGAGATCAAGTATCAGTCTGGAAGGGAGCTGACATTAGCTAAGATTTGTTGACTTGGTTTCTTTGTCTTCCCCTGAGCAGGTCCCAGCCTTCAAAGTCACTACTGTCATGTCTTCAGCTATTTCATCATATCTTAGCACAAAGATGTGCTGATATTATACTTATTTCACAGATGGAGAAGTGAGTTTTGCCATTTGACCAACATCACCCTGGAAAATCTCAGAAAAGCAGGATGCTCCAGCTCAACGCAACCAGGTCAAGGAGAGGAACGCAGACTGAAAGCCTGGAGGGATGATCCCAGAAATCTGCAAAAATAGCTGCCAAACTGTAATGCTTAATTAGGATCGAAAGGGAAAATCACTATGTATATGACTAGAGAGTAATCATATCAGCTGTGATGAATGTTGATTAAATTTAAATATAAGTGAAAGAAAATTAAAGTTAGCTTCTGGCCTGGACCCACCCACTTCTGTTTGAAATGCAGAACCAGGCACACAGCGCAGAGGCCATCTGTAATCTTCAGTCTGAAGAAAAAATGAGCAACATGCCAGCAGAAATTCTCTGCTTTTCTCCAGAACTAATAACCTGCATTTCATCTTAGGCAGCAGAGCTATCAGATAAATTTCGAAGAACCAGGTTTATTTATTTATGAATCAAATTTATATAGCCGTCCGTCTCACCGAAATCGAGTTTGGGTGGTGCACAATCATCAGATAAAAAGGCAACAAATACAGAAACAACCCAAAAAACATTAAAATCCATATTAATAAAAATGATAAAAGCAAAAAAAAAAAAAATACAGGAGGATAAAAATGGCCACCTGAACGATAGAGCCGGTTTCAGCCCCAGGCCTGATGACACAGCCAGGTTTTTGGGAATAGCAAAAGGGATGGAGCTAATTTAATGTTGGGGGGCGAGGGGGCGGGATCAGGGAATGTTCCCTAAAGCCAGCAGCACAGAAGAGAAGGCCTTGTGGAACCCACCCAATGAAGATTCTTAACCAAAGGTACCTGCAACGTGCTCTCTCTGGCAGATCTAATGGGATGGGCTGATGTAACCTGGGAAAGGTGCTCCCTCAAATGCTATAAGTGATGACGAGGTTGAGCCCAAGGGAGGGGTCAAACACATCATCAGTCCTGAGTCTTTTTGTGGCCACAAGAGATCTAAGTCCAGCCCACCTTGAGTTCCACTGACTCTTACCCATCACCAATTCACTTTGACTGTTAGTAGTTCCGATTCTTATAGAAAGCTTAAACTTGCAATAAACCTCTATATCAGTGGTTCTCAACCTTTTTAATGCCGCGACCCAACCGGTCGTAAGTCGAGGACTAAACCGGTCATAAGTCGAGGACTAAACCGGTTGTAAGTCGAGGACTACCCAACCGGTCGTAAGTCGAGGACTTTCCCTGCCCGGGAGCGCCGTGCATGCGTGGTTCCGCCCCCTGCGCCGGCCGAGGCATAGCTGGCAAGCGGCAGAGATGGAGCAGGCCGACCACCAGCTGGCCCAGCCCAAGGGAGGTAAGGCACCCACCGGAAAAGGGGGAAAAAAATGGCGGACAAAAAAAATGGCGGACAGCCTTGCTTGGCAACCCCCATGAAATGGTCGATCGACCCCAAATGGGGTCCCGACCCACAGGTTGAGAACCACTGCTCTATATTCACTCAAACTGCCCGGATTTCCTGGTCTCTCATGCTTGAAAGATGCCATGAAGCCCCTAAAACCAGCAGCTTGACTTGGATCTTGAAATTGGCAACCAAAGCACCTCATGGAGAAGAGGGGTAACACATGACTGTTGACATTCCAGTCCAACAACGTATATAATGTTGACAGTTCTTCATTCTAGGATGGTATCATCGCAACCCCATAGAAGATTCTGCTGAGCAAGTACACAACTAGATACCTAGGCCTAGAAGATGGTACTTCATATCATCTCAAGGACTCCTTGCCTGAGTAAATCAGGGAAGAATCTATTCCCAGGTGACAGTTGCAATCTCTCTTAAAAATTGGGAGGAGTCTGGTAGCATCTTTTCTGACTAGCTTTCAGAGAATGCCTGACACCTTTTGATGTACATGTACATTCATAGCATAGCATAGCATATTGTATTGTATCATGTCAATATTTCATCAATAGATATATTTGATCTGAATATATCAATATGTCAGGGAATCTCAGACATTCTCAACAAATACAGTGGGGTTCTAACACAATACAGTTGTTTATTGATAAGGTACTTAAAATCTGTTTCACAGGTAAGCAATCTGTATTCTCCTCTTCTCCTCTCTCCCTCCCCCCCCCCAGTTTAAATCCTACATCGGTCTACTCACTCTTTGGATATGATGAAGTGAGATGCAGCTGAAGAAAGCTGATGATTTTTAATATAGTTGTTAATTAGAAAGGGCACTACCAGATTTTTTATATTTTTTGCCACTGTAGACCAAAGACTGTCCTCCTACACTCATATTGGGAGTAAATCAAGAGTATAAACAGCCACCTTCAGGTTATCTACAGGATTACAGAGAAAAAGGTGAATGGCAAATTTCCTTTTTCAACTGGAGAACCCCTTCCAGCATTAGAAGGATATCCAATTCTTGGGCGGATGGAAATGAAGAACAAAAAAGATGGATGAAGGAGTGGGATAAATCTTGCAAGCTTGGGATACAACATGTGAAGGCATCCAGGAGCTCCACCACCACTATCAACTTACACTATCTCTTGACTAGGCAACCAGCTAATTTTAGAATTGGTTTAGTTTATGTTTTGAAACTTTTGATTCTGGGTTTTGTACTTTCATTTTTGTTAAGGGCCTTGAGTAAGAAAGTAGGGTATTGGTTGAATAACTTGCAGACAGGCATGTATGTCAATCATGGGCACAGTGGCCTCCTTACCCAATCCACTTAATGCAGCAAGATCAAATATACTCACACTTTAGTGTATTCCCAGGTCACACATTGTTGATGTGAGGTGCCCTGGAGGACAAATAGAAAGAGGGGGATGTGAATGGGGAACAAGGCATAGTACACCTAGCCCTTCCTTCCTTCCTTCCTTCCTTCCTTCCTTCCTTCCTTCCTTCCTTCCTTCCTTCCTTCCACTTTCAGATATTAATTTCTAATTCCTCCCTCAAAGGGAATATTAGTAAAGATTTAAGAGGCTACCTAAGTATTTGATGCACGTCAAACCATGTCGCTGTTTCCTATATTCCCTGCTAGACAGTAAAGTATTGCAAAAAGGCAGGGCAAAAATGAAGTATAAATGGCAAGAATAAATACACAAGGGAGAATTTTCCCCCCTTTCTCTCTTAATTACAACAGATAGGGTAAAACTCTTTATACTGATCTAACTAAAGCAAAAAAAATAAATTAAAAAATCCTGATTTTCTTTTCTCCAGCAGTGTTTCAGGAATAAAACTAAAATAGTGGATATATATATATACACACACACCAATACTCTTTATTTTTCTGATACTTTCAGCAGCTTTTTATCCTACAGATGTTTGTTGACTATGATCCTCTTATGCTGCTCATTAGGGAAATTCACCCTCCCTTGAAATCAAAGTCTCATTTCAATGTCAAAACACAAGATTACAAGTAGTACTTGAGTTACAACCAATCTGAAAACAGGGACTTACAACCTGGATTCAATGTTCCCATGGTTGGGCCCCCTCCACAGTCAAGTGACCCAACTTTGCTCGGCAACTTGGCCACATTTATGGCTGTTGGCAGCATCTCATTGTCACATGACCATTGTATGTTTTACAATAGTTTTGCCAACCTGGTGTTTACATCTGGTTTTTAGCAAAATCATGACCATGACAAACCATTGGTTAATGACTGTGGCATTTGGTTAATGACCATGACATTTGCTTAATTACCACCACAAAAAAAGGTCATAAAATCAGGTGACCTGCTTTATGACTATCACAACTTATGACCCCAATGTTCTGGTTTCATTACGGTCATCTGTCCAGGACTACCTGAATAGACATTTGTCCTGACTACGTTCCCAGAAAGCAAAAAATCAAAAGATCTGTTTTTCTGCATCCAGGGTTCCCTCTGAACAAATACTAGGTTTGGCCCAGCCTTGGCTACTCAACCTCCAGCCATAGAGCGTTATTTTGTAGCATAAAGTGATAAGTGAAGGAATGGGATGTTTAAGTCAAGAGCTTGTCTTTTAATTATACTGGGCTGGACTACTCTACCCACTTCAAAGGCTAAAGTGCCACGGGACCCCCCCCACTTAATAATAATAATAATAATAAAGTTGGAAGGGACCTTGGAGGTCATCTAGTCCAACGCCCTGCTCAGGCAGGAAACCCTATACCATTTCGGACAAATGGCTGTCCAGTCTCTTTTTAAAAACTTCCAGTGTTGGAGCATTTACCGCTTCTGGAGGCAGGTTGTTCCACTGGTTAATTGTTCACACTGTCAGGAAGTTTCTCCTTAGTTCTAGGTTGCTTCTCTCCTTGGTTAGTTTCCACCCGTTGCTTCTTGTCCTGCCCTCAGGCCCTTTGGAGAAGAGCTTGACTCCCTCTTCTTTGTGGCAGCCCCTGAGATATTGGAAGGCTGCTATCGTGTCCCCCCTCATCCTTCTCTTCATTAAGCTAGACATACTTACATTGATAATATGGGACAACTCCACTGTAATCAAAGGTTCCATGGCCTTCGTTGGTGGCTTCACCGTCACCATGAGAACTTTGGACATGACTGCCAGAGGACTTCTGTTGGTGTAATTTGCAATGTCACTGGAATGAGAATGCATTCAGAATACAAATACACCACCAAGGTATTGCTGCAAGCACGTTGCCAGATGGACTTGTTAATTTGGTAGATCCACTCACCTAGGAGGGGGCAGAATTAATCCCAAGGTGCGGTACAGGATGGCGCCAATGACAAAATAAGCTGAGTCATCTGTTTCTTCAGACAGAGGGAGAAAGAAGGACAAGAGCCACAGGGATTAACACAGCAGCTAAAGGGTTGTTTGTGGGACATGAAGTTGGGACTTTGTTGTCTTAAACAGGACTCAAAGCAATGAGAAGATCTCAAAACTGCAACTGCCAGAATGAACACATGTATAAGATTTCATGAATAGGTTAAGTGACTTATATACTGGAAAAAAGAAGGAAGTGGTGTCAAAATTGTGCAGCTGTAGAATTGCCTCTATCATGTTCCTAGGGAAACTGCATCAGTTGAATATCTGTCTGGAGAATCCTTTCTGGGGCTAATGTTTGTGTGAAAGACCAAAGCAAACTGCATCTGCGTGAACCAAACCAATGTAGAGTACAAGAGAGAATCCAATCCTTACAACTCAATCAATAAGGATTTTAAAACATCTTTTTTTTTATGCTGCGGTGTCATTTTTCTGGTTGCTAAGTGGAAATTCAAGCATAAGGCAGGCTGAACATATGCGTTCATTTCAGCTTGATAACATATGCATGCACAACTTATAAACGGGGCTATAAATATCTAAGCCTCACATTCCCACCTCTGATCTGAAATCTGGAGAAAGAGGCTGGACTTTCACAATAGCAGAGACAGAATCCGTAACTGGGATGCCAAATCAAAATTAGAAATATCACATCCAACTCTGTGAGTCAGTTATAATAATAACAACACTTCAGCCCAGCCTATATAATAATGTCTGTAAGCAGAGATTAGCAATAATGTCAGAGACAAAAGAATCTGGCTTTAAAAACTGGTGTTTTGGCAGTCATGTCTAAGCAAATAAATCCAAAATGTTCTGAACTCTTTCCAATTTATCTACAGTATAAAGATTGGATTTTTTTTTTTTAAAAAAAAACCTGAACAGAACACTTCACAACTCCTCCTTCTCTTTCTTGAGAGTAGCATTATTCCTCTATGATTATTCTAGTTTGCTGATCTTAAACACATCATTTCTATGAGTCTTTATCAGGTCAAAGCTGTTTTCAAAGGGTGAACTGTCCTTTTCCCCCCTATTCTTAAGAGAAATATACAGAAGGCTCAAACCTAAGAAAGGCTTCATTTTTATGATGCAGCAATAAAGTAATCCTTTATTCCTTTGATGGATCTATTAGGGACTAACTTCAAAATGTCAGCAGGGCCTGAGCAATGTCAATGGCCAGTGTTTCTCAGCTTTCAGATGGGTGGACTTCAACTCCCAGAATTCCCGAGTTGGAGAATTCTGGGAGTTGAAGTCCACCCATCTGAAAGTTGCCAAAGGAGAGAAACACTGGCATAGGCAGTTTGGTGAGCTCTTCTAAAGCCTAGCATACTTCAGAACCACCCATTGCCTCCTAACTCAATGGCAGAAGAGCATCTTGGAGCAGGTGTCTTCTTCAAGCTTCTTCATCCCTCCTCTAACCCAGGGGTAGTCAACCTTGGCTCTTTTATGACTCGTGGACGTCAACTCCCAGAATTCCTGAGCCAGCTAAGCTGGCTCAGGAATTCTGGGAGTTGACGTCCACGAGTCATAAAAGAGCCAAGGTTGATTACCCCTGCTCTAACCACTACTCCTTTTCCGCCCACCTCCATCCACCATCACTGAGTCGGTCCCTTGTGGAGGCTACGTACCAGATGAGGAGAGATTGAGGACTTCTTTGGGAATGAAGATCTTGTCTTCGGAGTGGCGGGCCCAATCCTTCATGCCCCGACGCCCCTTCATGGGGAAATTGATATCACTGGACACAGCAGAAACCGGCTCTCTCTGGATGCTAATCACTGCCAGGGGAGGGAAGGGGACAGAGAGGAGAGCAGGAAAAAAGGGGTGGGCGTCACCCTGGGATAGATATTTCAGGAAATAAAGCGGACTTGATCCTCACTCTTAACTTCATGGCCTTCTAGAGCAGGGGCAGAAAAGGAGTGGGACACTTTCCTTGCTGGCCATCAAACTCCCGGTTTGCTACAGGGTTATAAAGGTTGTTTTAATTTTAAAAATGCAGAGGACATTCTGCAAAGCTGACTAAATACCATTAAGTGGAAAAAATAGCTGTGAAGGTCTGGAGGTGGAAAAAACAAGGCAGAATATCCCACCATCCAATATTTGTAACAATAACTAGATGTATCCCCTGAAGCCACCGCCATGAAGTCCACAAAGCAAGTTCCTGGGTCTGAAGAAGACTCTGTCATTGCCCAGAGTCCATTCTCAATCCTCCCAAAAAAACTATTCCTCTGTCCAGTCCTTTCCAGTTGCTTACCCAAGTTGTCCGTAACAATAAGGGAACTCTGGAAAGCCTTGAGGGCACCTCCTACCAGATGGATGAAATCTTCAACCACTTTCATGAGGAGGACGGAACCAGGCAACACCTGTGCAGGGAATGGAGGGATGAGAATTAATGGGTCAGACCCCCCCCCATTAATTAATCCCCACTCCAGTGGGAATGAGAGACTTCCAATTCCCACCATAGGCACAGGTCCATGCCCAGCAACTCACCTGTTGGGCATCTTCCCATTTCTCCCTGTTTTCTGCATCTATCATGTAGCTCACAACCTGGAAGAAACGCTGGAGGGAGAGAAGAGAGAGTGAAGGGAAGAGGCCAGACTGTGCCGAGCAGTTGTTAATATTTATGGCAATTTGGCCTCAGGCAGTTTTCTCAATTTCCCAGCAGCAAATTCCACTCAACCCCATTTTTATATCTCTTTATATAGTGGGCTGAAAATCATTTGCTTGAATATTCATGCTCATTTTTTTTTATCATTCGCAGGCATTTTCTAGGACCCCCTGTGTTTTTGCAAGTCGTTTCTGCCATTATTAAATGTAGAATTTTGTACATATCTGCCCTTCCACGATTGTGTGCGCATATTCGGAGTGATGCCCGTATTGCAAGCTTTCTAAAAAAAAAAAAAAAAAAGAGTTCTATTTATTTTGAAGGCTGAAATGGATCTGTTTGTGTATAAGTTAACATTAAGCATTTTTTTTTATCCTTTCCCATCTTTGTGTAAAGCTGCATTCTGAACGAGCTCAAAAATTAAGAGGCAGAATCCACCTGAGATATTCCACTAGACATCGTAATGTGTTTCTTTTGCGTTTCTCTAAAAATGCCTCCTGGTGAGGCATAGATCAGAAGTAGAAAAACTGCTTTGCATACAAGTTCAGCCCTAACATGTCCAGATTTAGCTGAAGAAACTCTTGCAAACCAACTGCTCATTAGCCATTGTAAGCCACATGGGAACTGGGTGGTTGGGCTTAAAAAGCCCATTTGATGTGTTCTTGTTATCACATGGTGCCTAAACAAATAAAGATATAATGTCTGCTTATGATGGCCTAGTTCCAGGGTAGGCAACCTTGGCTCTTTTATGACTCGTGGACTTCCACTCCCAGAATTCCTGAGCCAGCATGGCTCAGCTTGGAAACCTCTCCCTTTCTCCTCAGCGTGGCTGGCTCAGGAATTCTGGGAGTTGAAGTCCACGAGTCATAAAAGGGCCAAGGTTGCCTACCCTTGGCCTAGATGTTAGGAAACGTGGCTCTTTTATGACTTGTGGACTTCAACTCCCAGAATTCCTGAGCCAGCATGGCTCAGCTTGGAAACCTCTCCCTTTCCCCTCAGCGTGGCTGGCTCAGGAATTCTGGGAGTTGAAGTCCACGAGTCATAAAAGAGCCAAGGTTGCCTACCCCCGGCCTAGTTCATTCAACTCATATGGAAAGGGGTTGGGCTCCACAACTCAGCTTCATAACCCACAATCTTCTCAAGTCTCTTTTTGATCTGGTCAAGCACGTTGCATGGCTGAGTAAGGGCATTCAGTGGCATCGTCCTAATTATCTCAGTGGACTGGATGACCACATAGGGCTGGTGCCTGGTGGGGAGAACCCTTTGTACAGAAGACATCATATATTTTGTCTTGTTTCAGCCTGCATGGAGTATTCCAGCCATCATATCTTCCCAATGGAGGAAAGAAGAGATGTGATGTCTCAACCAAGAGAAACTGGTCCTGGTTCTTCCCACCTCTGGGAAAGCAGTAGGTGATTCTGGAATTGGTAACCTCCCACTTTCTTCAGTTGGGCCAGTGCTCTGGAGCCCAATCAGCAAAGCAGGAGAGAGTCTGCGGAACGGGCTTCATTACAGACTCCATGGAATGGAACTCCCCATACCCAGAACACATAAAGCTGTGCTAGATGGATCAATAATCATAATAATCTCCATCTTAAAAAGTGGTGCCACCAATGGTAGTGATCTGCTCTCCTTTTACTGCAGGGCTCTTCAAACTTGGCAACTTTAAGACTTGTGGACTTCAACACCCAGAATTCCTCAGCCAGCCATGGAATTCTGGGCACTGAAATCCACAGCTCTTAAAAGTTGCCAAGTTTGGAGATCCCTGCTTTACGGGGAGTATTTCTGTGTCTCTGTGTAAAGGACAGCATGGTTCCTGAAAACCTGAATCAGTAGATGGAAGTTGTTGGGGTATATTAGGAGATCCATCCAGCAGCAGTAGCTGTCACATATTCTGATGTCAACATACGATAACAATATGTGCTTGATGACATTATTATGCACATGCCACAATTACAAGCAAGCATGTGAGTCATAGTTTTTGCATGATGATATCAGCAAGCATGTGGCTTTTTGGACACCATGCTCCCAATCTTAGCCTATGCAATGTGACCAGTCTCTTCAGCTTCAATGACCTCATGAACTTAGAGACAAAGAATGGTTTCTTCTCCTTTGGATGTCAACATAATACCTGCACATCATCTGAGGAAGGAATATAGGTGGCTCTTTTGTAAGTATCTGTGACATTGCGCAGGATCTCCACTGAGAAGAGCAGGTCCCCACTGTAATAGCTCCGGCGGGCAACAAGCTCCAGCAGGCTACGGACCACCTGAGACATACCCTCACCTGCCAGCATGCGCTGGCCCTTCGCCAGGTGCTCACGGAGCTTAAGGATGAGATGGAAAGGGAGAGAAAGGGAACAAGGTCAGATCATGAATTACCACCAAAGATATTTTGCTCGTGAGAAAAAAAAATCATTGCAAGCATCCTGGGACTTCTACTTGTTCCTCAGATATAAAGATGAAGATCTGAGTGATTTCTGCTAGGGTAGTCAGGACTTTTGCTCCTTCTGTGGCCAACTGATTCTGCACCAACTGATTAGCACCAGATGCTCTTTCTCCTCAACTTGAGAAGAGGCCCTCCACAGAAGCCCACAAAGAGAACTGTATTCCAGCAGGAGCTGAGCCTAATGTCCTGAAAGTTGTTTGGTTGATTTGGGTCCTTGCACCGTTTAGGAGAAAGAGCCAAGCTTAACTTCTCCATACCAAAACCTCAAATCTCTATGAATACCTTCATAGGTCAGGGGTTAAAACTTTCAAGATCATAGAGAAGAGCTTCTAGGGCAGTGGTTCTCAACCTGTGGGTCGGGACCCCATTTGGGGTCGATCGACCATTTCATGGGGGTCACCAAGCAAGGCTGTCCACCATTTTTTTGTCCGTCATTTTTTCCCCCTTTTCCAGCGGGTGCCTTACCTCCCTTGGGCTGGGCCAGCTGGTGGTCAGCCTGCCCTGTCTCTGCCGCTTGCCAGCTACGCCTCGGCCGGCGCAGGGGGCGAAACCACGCATGCACGGCGCTCCTGGGCAGGGAAAGTCCTCGACTTACGACCGGTTGGGTAGTCCTCGACTTATGACCGGTTTAGTCCTCAACTTATGACCGGTTTAGTCTTTGACTTACAACCGGTTTAGTCCTCGACTTACAACCGGTTGGGGTCGCGGCATTAAAAAGGTTGAGAACCACTGTTCTAGGAAAGCTTCAGCAACCCTTCTTAAATTCTAGCCACAAATAATGGAGAGAAAATCCAAGGAAATAACTCATCAGAAACAGAGAAATACAAGGTTTCTGGATCTCTTCCATTCTCTCCCTAAGGCAAGATCTTTATTTTTCTCCCTACTTCTTAAGACCTGAATTAGTAAGTTTGTCCAGGTAAGCAACTTTTGGCAACTCAGCTAAGGAGCACAAGCTTCCATGCTCAGCCAGATTAACACAAACCTCAATTTTCCCCTTGTGAGAATTTACCGAGGAATCAACACCTAGGATTATACTGCTCAGCCAATGTTAATTTGATGAAATAATTCCTAACACCCTGTCCTTCATCTTTATTGCCAGAATAGTTGTAGGTATTCTTATTTTCTATCGGAGCATGAAGGAGAGCCAGTAAAATGTATTGAGAGGTAGTGGACTGAGTGCAGGGGCCCCCAGGTTCAAGTCTTCCCTCATCTATGGAACTTCCTGGGTGACTTTGAACAAGTGTCTCTCTTTCAACCCAGCCTCCCTCACAGGGCTGTTGTGGGGGGGAAATAGAAGGAGGAAGTACTATACACACTGTTTTGATTCTAAACGAAAGGGCAAGCTATAAACCTCACACAAATCAATCTCAACACCAACTACCAGTGATTGATTGACCTAGGTCAGTGATGGCGAACCTTTTAGAGACCAAGTGCCCAAACTGTAACCCAAAACCCACTTATGTATCGTCGGGTGCCAGGTGGGCGTGGCCCATTGGGTGGGTGTGGCCTGTTGAGTGGGCGTGGCCCATTGGGTGTGCGTGGCTTCGGTGGTAATGGCACACTGGGTGGGACTAAAACGTTCAATCAATTCAACTTTGTGAGATTTTTTTTTCCTGCAAGAAGTTGAAATTGATTGATTGATTGATTGAACCTTTTTTTTTTTTTTGCACACGGCGGCGGAGGCCTAAAGCGAAAAGGTTTTATAAAACTCAGCTGAAGGCCTAGGACTGGGGCGATGGCGCGGGTGCCCACAGAGAGGGCTCTGAGTGCCACCTGTGGCACCCGTGCCATAGGTTCGCCACCACAGACCTAGGTTTTATGTGAGGATTTGAAAGAGGAGGACAAACCTGACCCTCTGCCTGTTTTTAAAGTGTGGTCTGTGGGTGTGGGTGAGAGTGTGCATAAAAGACAGAGCATCAATGTGGAATTTTGAGGGAAATGGCAGGAAGGGGTCATTCTCCCTGCTAAGGGAATTCAGGTCTTGAACATCTGTGGAAGAGTCGACTTGTGCCTGGAATTAGCAAGTATTTTTTCTCTCTCCTGGGATCCAGGATTTTGGAGGCTTAAACACCACCACCCCTTCACAATAAAGTTGGTTTTACAAAAAGTGAACCGAAAGCAAGCATGTTTGTGGGTGTGTAGAGAAAGGAGTTAAGCTAGGAAGATGGCAGAGAGAAGACAGAGAAACCTTTTCCAACCCAACATCAGACATCTCAGCAGGCTTCAGTGGTCTTCAGGCAGGAAGAGAAAAAAACATCTCATATTTGAGGGGCTGTCATACAGAAGACCGGGGGGAGGGTCGACCTATTCTCCAAAGCACCAGAGGGCAGGGCAAGAAGTAATGGATGGAAGCTCATCAAAGAGAGCTCCAACCCACAACTAAGGAGAAATTTCCTGTCCGTGAGAACAATTAACCAGTGGAACGGCTTGCCTCCAGAAATTGTGGGTGCTCCATCACAGGATGTTTTCAAGAAGAGACTGGACAGCTGTTTGACTGGAATGGTACGGGGTCTCCTGTTTCAGGAGGGGGTTTGACTAGAAGTCCTCCCAGGTTCCTTCCAACTCTTGTTATTTGATATTCTGTCAAGTCTCGGTGCTGCGAGACCATAGAGAGGCAAAAGCGAGTGACGGAGAAGGAAGAGAGTCCAACTGGAGCAGAAGTTCTCAACCTTGGCAACTTTAAGACTTGTGGACTTCAACTCCCAGAATTCCTCAGCCAGCAATGCTGGCTGAGGAATTCTGAGAGTTGAAGTCCACAAATCTTAAAGTTGCCAAGGTTGAGGACCCCTGACTGGAGTCTGAAAACCCACAAAAGCCTGAACGCCCAATCAAGCATGCTGCATGCGGTAGCCCAGAGCTCTAAAAACTAGCATGGGGGGGGGGAATGTAGTCCAGAGTTGCAGGAGGGGGGGGGCTCTTTCCCAGAGACCAAAGAGACAAAGAAACTTGGAATCTCTGGAATGCAGAAAGAGAGGGAAGGCGGACCCTCCCTAGCAATTCACAGGAGACAAGAGTTATGCAGATAAATGCTTTGCTCCTGCCAGATTTCTGTCTATAGGCAAACAAGATCAGAAATGAGGAGGGGATAAGCCGCCTGGGAAAGCCAAGGGAAATCATCCAAACAATTAAAAAACGAAAGTTAGAATATTTCGGACATGTGATGCGACACCCAGAAAAATACGGCCTACTCCATTTAATCCTCCAGGGAAAAAAGATTGAAGGCAAACGAGATCCAGGCAGAAGAAGAACATCGTGGCTTCAAAATCGAAGGGACCGGTTTGGACAAAACTCAGCAGCACTTTTTCGTGCGGCTGCTGATAAAAACAGGATCGCCAACATGATCGCCAACGTCCGATAACGGATAGGGCACAAGAAGAAGAAGAAGGCAAACACAATAAAGAAAGTAGTCAGAAGGAACTCTGTGTGCCCATCCTGCTTCCTTGGACCTGACACAGCTCCACAAACAGAGGACTATGAGTGATAGAGGTGGGGGCGGGGAGAGAAAAGGCTACCTACAGTATAAAGGAGTGAAAATGGGTTTCCGTGTGCAAAGGGACCAAGATTGGGCACAAGAGCTGAAGATTCCATGGGGGAAAGGAAACATTTAAAGAGCAAAGAAAGAGTTAAGATAAGGAAACATGCTGCTACAGGCCTGGGAATAGGAACACTGAAACAGAACACGGAGAAAGAGATTTAGAGATTAAATATGAATGGAAATAGCTGTAAGCTGATAGCAATAGGAAGCTAAAGTAGCCTCTCTTCCTCCTCCATCCCTCAGCTCTGAGTGGTTTTACAGCTCCAGGATGATTTTTCTCTCACTGCCTGAAGGCTACAGATAGTCCTCCACTTATGGACGGTCACATAGTGGCTGTTCAGACAACTGCCCAAGATTTGAAGTTCTGACATCTGCCTCCTCCCAACAGCCATGTGACTGCACTTTACATTGTTTCCGGGGAAAAAAAAATGCCCATAGTGAATAATGGATTCATTTAACAACCATGATATTTGCTTCATGGCCATGGTGTTTACTTAATGACCATGATATTATTATTAATAATAATAATAGTAAAGTTGGAAGGGACCTTGGAGGTCATCTAGTCCAACCCCCTGCTCAGGCAGGAAAGCCTATACCATTTCGGACAGATGGCTGTCCAGTCTCTTCTTAAAAACTTCCAGTGTTGGAGCATTCACCGCTTCTGGAGGCAGGTTGTTCCACTGGTTAATTCTTCTAACCATCAGGAAGTTTCTCCTTAGTTCTAGGTTGCTTCTCTCCTTGATCAGTTTCCATCCATTGCTTCTTGTCCTGCCTTCAGGCGCTTTGGAGAATAGCTTGACTCCCTCTTCTTTGGGGCAGCCCCTGAGATATTGGAGCACTGCTATCATGTCCCCCCTCGTCCTTCTCTTCATTAAACTGGACATCCCCAATTCCAGCAACCGTTCCTCATATATTTTAGCCTCCAGTCCCCTAATCATCTTTGTTGCTCTTCTCTTATTGTTAGCAACAATGCTGTTTGCTTTACAGCCAACACGAAAAAGGTCATAAAATCAGGCAAAATAACGTTATGACCATCACTATTTATGATCAAAATAGTGGGTTCAATCACGGCCATAAGTCAAAGATTATCAGTGTGGCTGAGGGAAGTTCTTGCCTTTGAGTTGGAGATTTCTCCTTCCAGAGACTCTGCAGTCTTCCTGGCTTAATTTCTTTTTGATATACGAACATATGTGCTTACTTTCAGTTCTCTATTAATATAACAACAACAACAACAAAACCCTCTTTCCAATATAGCAGCGTGGCTGTGTTAGCCCTCCTTTCTAGGTAGCCCCCAAACCCTGGATCCCAGGAGGGAAAAAATTCATTGCTCCTTTCAGGTTATAAGTTCACATCTCGACTCAGTTCACATTGGACGTTGACACTACTGCAAAAGAGAAGAACAGCTGGATGTTACATATTTTATGTCTCTTGCCCACAGTCCTGTTCCTCCTCCAGCCCTTCTCTGAACCAGAGAGGAGGGTGGGTAAGGTGGCACAGAAGAAAGGATTTCCAAGTTGCCTTGCCAAAAATTTGCACCTACTGAAAGATGTAAATATCGGTACTCGTGGGAAATGCAGCGGGCGAAGCTGGGCAGGCTCCAGTAAGCCACACCGTGGTTGTTGAGCAGGCACTGTCGGCTGGCAGATCCTAAAAAAAGAAGAAGCAAGTCATTGGTTAGTGCCCATCACTCAAGAGGCCAGCACATCCAGCCCCACTGAATTCAGTCACTTATTCCTCCGTTGTTAGCTTGGGGACCAAGGGTTTTGAAGGGACCCTAATGGGTTATCACCTCCCCTGCAATCCAGATGTCAACGAATTAAGAAACACTGACTCCCAGCAGGGAGGTGTGGAGATCAGAAATGTCAAGACAACAGCCACAACTTTATATGGAACCCACCATCTTGACTTCTTCTGAACCCCTTGAGGACATCTTTGACCCCTGCAGATGATTGGTGGGCATTTACGAAGAAGGCTTAGCAACAGACCAAAGCTGTTTTATGTTCCTCAGTTTTAAACTGGGCACATTCTTTCGTTTTTACGGCAGATTATTATTATTATTATTATTATTTCAATTTATATCCCGCCCTTCTCCCGAAGGACTCAGGGCGGCTCACAACATTATTAAAACAAAGAAAGACCCACACACCCCACCGAATAAAACCAAATTAAAACCAAAATTTTTATGTTGTGATAATTAAAATTTCTAAAAAACCCAGTTTAAAAATCCTCCCTAGGCCAGGCCC